CGCATTAATCTGGCTAGAATCAAATCATTTGGTAGAACTGCGCTGCTTGATTGGCTGTCCGGATGCTAGGGCATAGATGATATTTAGCACGAAAAGAATAGGAATCACTTATACGTTGCCCTCCCGGCAGGAGAGGGGCAAATAACCGCCCCGGAACGCTGTATTTCATGGAGGGCACCTTTTCTCGTTCATTAACAGTAACCCGAACTTCAATATTAAGCCTAACCTTAACATGAACGCTACACCTAACCATAGTCTGAATTCTAAATTTCCATGAAATTTAGCACAAACCCATCTGTATTATGCGGCATTACTATTCCTATGGGCGCACAAACGATGCCTAGCCCGTCGAATTAGCCACACCGATGTGGTTACGGAACATGGTCGTTTTGTTGTACCTTGGAGCCCTCACAGGTAGTCGCATAACGACTTAAGTTATATGATGGAGTGGAATCGACAAAGACAAGGTGAACAGGAATGGCCATTTCTGGCTTAGTGACCGTCATCAGTAGTGTTATACCGAATCCCATCGATGGCAATTTTATCGTCCTCTAAGTTTCTCGGTCAAACATCGCAATCTACTATAAAGCTGAGGCAACTTCATGTGACGTGAAATCTGACAACCTCAAAGTAACAGACTGTGCAATGTCAAATTCAGAGAAATTCACGCTGGTATCAATGCATATGTAGGGCCGTTAATTTGGAGGGAGAAGATGTCACGGACAACCGATATTCGAATGACGATATGCCTCTTCCCAAGGTTCATTCTAATCTGTTGTCAAGGCCTTGGGGGGGAGTCTTCCCTGCCCTCCCTTTGTTCATTCGTCTATGATTTAGGGCATATTAATATGGGAGGACAACAAGCCCCCTGACTTGGTGGTTATGGTGTTGGACTACTAACCGAGAAAAACGGGTTAGGGCTTCAGGGGCTGGGCACAGCTAGCTGACGAAGACTGATAGACGAGAAAGAGCCCTTCCAACCTTATTTGTAATGCTATTTCGTTAAATATAACAAAATATTCTTGCATTCTCAAATATATCACTGTATAGTTAGACAAAATGAAGCCAGTCAGTTCTGATGCAAGAGCATACTGGGATCAGAGTGATAGCGGATGGTGGCTACGCCAGTGAACAAATCACTCAGAAAAGAGCGCGTTTGGCCATCATGTTGTATTTGGCTATAAATGCTGTTAGAAAGGGGCTGCCCTAGTTACGCTGGTATACGGCGTTATCATTCCAACTTCCTACTGCCCTCCCCTCACCATCATCCGAGAACGGTGAACATCATTCTCATTGGTCGTCCTCCGTCAAGGTTGTAGTCGACCGGCCCCGGATTTGATAGCCCAGATTTAAGCTTAAAGATAGACGCTTGCGACAGTTCTGAAACTAGTAGGTTACTTAGTGGGATCAAATAACACCGCGTAAACTGAGGCAACTCTGGATAAGCAGGGAGAATAAACAGAATGCACTCGCATGCCTACACCATACATAGGTGGTAACACCGACTGGCCCTCACCCCAACATCAAGTTTGGTTTACTGACGGCGCTGCATAAAGTCAGAGAAAAGCAGACGATTGGACAATAATACAGGCGGGGAAAGATTAAGGTTTAGTAAAGTTAGAAAGCAGAGTTAAAGACAGCTCAGTGCCCATGTGGGAGAGTTATCAGTAACGAAACTGTTTAACGACTCCATACGTTATAGGTTATACTGTTCCGTTTTTTTGATAAGCCGTCTTAACATTGGATCAAAATAGTGAGCAAGAGACT